ACAAAGAAAAGGGTCGAGGGCTAACTGTGTGTACACAGTGAACAGTTCAATACTGTGGTTTATACATTTCCTTTATGCATAGTAAATCCTTCTCTGCTACCAGAAGCAGCAAACTGAACAGGTAATAGCTGCAACATGGCAGAACAATGGTCACATCAATACCTAAGTGCAGAGACACATGGCAGAAAGCACAAAGTTAGTATAGTGATGAAATGCATATTACAGCGAAGCATCTGGATAGAAAGGCAAAACACTGAACAACATCCCAATGGATTAAATTCCAAATGACATCAGCAATTTCAATGTGTTGACAGAACTTTACAGTAGGAGAACAGTCATTGTATTCTATTAGGATTTTAAGTTACTGTTCATGATGTCTCAGCCTTTTCTGATATGACTAACCCTATGAAACAGGGCTCCTAGTTCAATGCCTATTTGAACTGTGGAAAAGATTCTTTTCCAAAAGTACAGTATCCCAACTCAAGGTTCATCTACTCAGACAAACATAATTATTCATGCAGGAAGTTAGTTAATAAACCACAGGCAAAATCTGGAATTATTTCATTATAATTAATAGTGTATTATGCTGATTACGGTTTGGCTGAGAAAAAATAGGCTAGTCTGAGCTAGTCTGAGATAACTGCTTAATACTCTGCACATGTGAGATGGTGGAAGCATTTGAAAGACACCTTGTGCACAAGAACTTAGTGTTACGGGGGCTCAGATTCAATGCAACAGCAAAGTAGCCAAAGTGAGTCATGATAAAAGCACACTAGGCAGCATGAACTACCTTTAGAACTTTGGGTTTCATCTGAAGAAAAGGTGAAAAAGAATACTGCATTCTAGGAATGTGAGGGGAAAGCAGTTGTACAACATATGTTGTCTGTTGATTACCGAAAATGAAGAAAACTGGTTTATGCTACAGTGCACTAAATTCAGAAGGTATAGAGGGTAGAAGGACAATGTTTGAAGTCAGTGGATCTATATTCCATTCTAAAAGGGCTTATTTTAAACATCCCCAACAGTTTTTATGGACATCACAGGGTGGTTTGGAAACATTGCATACTACTTTGCAATATACCCTATTCTTCCCAAGAACATAATTCATTTTGTGTGCTTACATCTAATATCTTTTGGCTCATCTTACTTTGAAAAGGATTTTGAACTCCAAGAATGTTCCTCAAATAATCCCTCTAAGAGTCCCAGAAGGAAAATGTTAGAGTGTAGAGAAAGAAGACAGGACAATAAATGAAAAGTAACATCATATCACTGAGAACTCTCAGCCACAAACCAAGCTACACCCATTGTCTAGAATCCATCTTCCTCTCTAATTAATTTTTTATTGTAAATGAAGCAAGGCAAATTGCAAGGAATAGGCATTTATAAACAAAAAAAGAAAAGAGTCCAAATTAGAAAAAAAAATTTTCAAAAAATCAAAATAATGAAACAACCATTGACATCTGATGTGGACAGTGTCCCTTCAGCCTTTCATTGAACCATTACAAACTATTTCCTTAGAACAAACAACTTTACTGTCCTCCTTTCTACACCAATGTGCTTTCCAGAGCAGTGTGCGAGCAACACTTAAGCCTTGGCTTCCTGAATTAAATTTTTTTTATGCAGTTGTTCAAAAAGCAATTTAAAACGATTAGTTGGATGACCTCTCTCAGGCTAGGTTTCCCCATGGAGAACCTTCAATCTGTTGCTTTGAGGCAAGATGTGAAGATGTAGGTGCTATCTGAAACCAGTTTAGAGTGTCATCAAGCTGGGGACCTGGTTGTCTTTTTACACCAGTTGGATGTCCTTTATTTCAATTAATCATTCCTGATTTATCCATGAAATGAGAATCAGTCTGAAAGTATAAATTTACCAGAAATGGCATTATCCTTAGAGCTATCAGTCCACCTCTCTGAAGGATATTGTACTGTCAGTTCACAAAGAGAAAAAATTTTGAAGTATAAGCAGAAGCTGCAATACAGGTTGCCAGAGAAAACCCAAGTTGAGCTTTCATGAAGAACATGGGATTGCTGTCAGCAAAAGTTGCTGGCTCTAGTGATGGACAGAATACTGAAACTTCTCTTCTGCTTGCTAATGTAGACCAGATATTTGCAGGATATAATTTATTTTCTGCCTGAACCGAGATGTCAGCAGAGCCATTTACAACAGAAAGGTGAGGGCAAATCATGCCAATTATGAAAAAGCTTTATACTAATGATACCATAGGGAAAATGCATGTATTTCACATATCTACAGGGATGATAGAAAGGAGAAGCTCATAGAAGGTCATCATACCAGGGTCAAGGCATACCTTGAAGCCCTGACACAAACCCTATTTTTTTTGTTCAGAGTAGGAAAAAAAATTGTAGAATGCTATGTGACATTAGATGAAATCTTAGGGAGCCACACTGTCGTGAAGGACTGAAACCGACCCTGCCAAATGATGCCAGTCAGCAATCTCAATTACTTTTTTCCACCTGATTTCATATCATAAATGTGGCACACATTGTAGAAGATCAACATAAACTATTTTTGTATGTGTGTGTTTGACCTACTACAGGTTTTCTGGGACCCGATTTGGTAAGCACGTGCTTTATTGCCACCAGAACTCATAAAAATATTTACGTTTTTTCACTTCCTAAATATCTTTTGCTTTTCCAAGGAATAGCACATAGTTATACAAAAATACTGAGTCTATGGCAACAAAGAATGATCAAGCTGTAAAAAATAAAACATTGAAACGTCAGGGAATGCTATTATTGTCTGAATTTAAATATGTCATGCCTGTGCATTATGATAACCTTTTAATTACATATTAACATAGTATATTTCATGAAAAATCATTTAGAGGGTCTAGCAGAGTACAGGAATCCAGCTTTCATTCTTTGTGTAAGGAAAAGTAGTCATTACTTCAAGTAAGTCCTACTTCACATTTGTAGACTTTACGCTCAATAATTACATTGGGGCATGCTCATACAGTTTGCTAATGTCAAGAGCAATTAGCAAATGCATAATGAGATTTTAGTTGTTGATTCCAAATAAATCTTTCCCAAATACCCATAAAGTTTTTTACATTTTTGTAAAGACTTGTATCTTGCATGAAATTGGTCAACTTTTTACTCAAGACCTAAAATAATCTCATGGCAAGTTTGAAGTCACTACTCTACAACCTGACAAATAATAGACTCAGAGATGAAAGACTCAAAAATGGCACTACATTTCTATCCAATCTGACAAAGCTGTATAAACAAACCAAAATATATTTAGATACTAGCAAATGCTGGACAATCACATTAACTGAAAACTGATGATAGCCTCTCTGCAAAATATCTATGTACCTGCGCACCTTACAGGACAAATTAACATATACACAAAAACAAGTAAGTATTAAGTATTTGAACAGCATCTAGAACTTGAGGAAAACTAAGAAGAAATTAAAAATACCCTAATTTGGACCTCTTTCTCTTTCGGGGAAATGTGTGTGGTTTGAAACCTGGGTGTGAATATTGCATGGTGGGAAGAGCTCTAATTACTTCACTCCCAGCTGAAAATAAAAAGATCCAGAGACATACAAAAATGTGGGCAGTAGTGACATTCTCTATCTTTAATTACATGACTGCCAGACTCTAAATTTTCCACCCTCTCTCCCACTTTGAGCTTAGGGTTCTTGTTCTCACATAGAGCTCCACAAAAGTACCTCCTGCCCACACCTCATTTCTCATTTTCTCCTTCTGTTACCACCCGAGTTCTATCCAAATTATTTTCTTAAATGCCTACTGTACACTTTCTCTGGTCTTTGCATCACATCAATGCTTGCATTCCAAAGAACCTAGCCACGTTCATTTGAATTTCTATCTAAAATAGACTTTTTCTGTAAGGTCAACAAATCCTATGGTGTCAGCTTAAGCAACCTTTTCTTAAAGTAGCTGTTTAAAGTTCTCTAGATGAAAATTATGTCCTTTATCCTGATGCATTGCATGCACTGTTTGACTAACACAGAATATTCCTGACTTGTGTCACCGGCATATTTTAATAGAAAATGTGAAAAGTACAAATTATATCATACCTAGGTAAATAGCCTAGAACTTCAACTGATTTGCTGGGTTTGTAAAACCAGGGCCATTCCATGAATCCTTTATCCCTTCCTGACTAAATACATTATTTTCCCTGAAAGAAACTTGATTTTTAATAGATGAGACTCAAGTAAAGACCCTAAAATTGAAGTCTGCCAAATTTCACAGCTGCTCCTCATCTCTACGATAGCTTCACCAAAACCTCAGAGCCGACAGCTCTAAGTTCTGTAAAAGCTGGATTATGAATTTTTATTTCTCAGAGAATGGATAGTAGCCACTAGTATGAAACTACTTTAAGCTCAAAGAAGAGAAACAGAAAACACTTGCCTAATCTGCAGACATACTAGTGGGACCACGTGTTTATGGTCATACACATGTATATGTGTATAAGAGCAGGTTAGTTATGTTTCTTTTTCAGACTGCATAGGCAAAGGGATAGAACCCCAGTTCTTGCTTTGCACTGCTTGCAGGTACTGCCTTCTTCTGATATCTGCAAAGGGCAAAACGGGAGGGACAAGACCACGAGTCTGGTCCCAGACAACTCCAAAGGCATGTTTGGACCCACGTCATCAGGCATATGCAAGCTTTCTGCTGCCTAGAGACTATGTGCATTCTCCCCATACTCATCATTTGACAAAGGAACCTGTAATACCATGTCCCATTTCAGAAATTCAAGATTGCAAATAATTTTAATATTTTCTCTTACATCTTCAACAACAAGTTCTACCAAAGACCTCTTCACATGTGAGAATTTTCTTTTCCCCACTCATTGTGGTATTTGCTGTATTGTGTGATCAGAAACCTAGTAGCCTCAGAAGCTTGCTTTCTCTTCCTATTCCTTATGAAAAAAATGGTAATATTTTAGCAGGTATGAAGGATGCAAAATATTTGTAAAGCTCAGATAGCTTTTACTCAGCAAAGTACTGTTACCTGTCTGCATCCACAGTCACATCATGAACCCCCCTCTGAATGACGTCTCGAGAGGCAGCCAGGTCTGGTATTCGGTTCAGACTTCTTGTATATAGGTTGAGTCCTCCATCTGTCATGTACCTGAAAATAAATGTGTGGTCAATCAGTGGGAAATGCAGCCATCTGCTAACAATGTTTCACTCTAAAGTTAATAGGTTGTGGAATTCAACCATGCACATGTATGGCACCAAACACAGAAGCATACTTATACAAAAAAAAAATATTCGTATATCTTAGTGAACCTAGTCAAAGTAAAATATGGACTTACTGAAATAAGTGTAGTCCCAATGCTAAGATGATGGCTAAAATGATCTACTGGAGTTCACTCATGATTCAAACTTGAACACAAGTTCTCCTCGAGCCATGAAATGGTGCTGCTCAAACCCATCTTTCAGTCAAAATGTGTGTCCAAGTATGCAAACATTTAACTTCAGTAACTCTATACAGACTCCCAGGCACAAGTGAAGACACACACACACACTGCTGTTGCTTAAGATGTTCTGTTGGCCCTCACCCTGGGGCTCCTTCTTGGAGCAGACTTAATTGAAATCAGCTGCCCTAGAGTCCTGAGGGCCAATACAGCAGCCCAGGAACCAGCTCCACCACCATGGTTCAGGGTGGGTGAATGGGTATAGGTCTTGGAGAGCAAAGCTGCAGTAGTGTAGTCCTGTGTGACAGCACCAGTTTGAGAAGGCATTGTGTCCAGGGTGGCAATCTCTATGAAGGCAAACCGCAAGTGCATTAAAACACAATGGATTCCTTTGATTATTTTTAACAAAACTCTGAGGCATTTTAGACTTGGGTAAGACTTGGCCTGCAGTTCAACAAGGGATTTCTGAAATCTTTGGTGGGATTTCCCCTTCTTGGTATCTGGAGGTATCTGCAGAAGGTACCTTCACAATTGTTTTCAAAGGTACATTAACAGTTACAGTTACATACTACATCCATCCTTTTATTAAATACAAAATTCAGACTTTTTTGACAGATTATTTAGCTAGGCTTGAATTATGCAGTACATTCCAAGGCTCTAGAATTGCATATTAAATATAGTGTGGTTTGAATGCAATCCAGATATATGGATTTTTTTTTCTGTATAAGGGCTGAATGGAGAGACTGAACAGTGCAACAGGGCTTCCTCACACTAACTTCTAATTACTGCTGAATTCCTGTCCCCAAGTATTTAAAGTAATTAAACTGATAATGGAAGAGGCATAAAGGAGATAAGACTTTACATGCCTCAGTGAATACTGAAATTTCAGAGCTTATTAACTTGTTCTTAACATTTACTGCACCTAAAAATATTAACCGAGCACATTGCAACTTACTATCTATTGAGTCATCCTTATTACAGATGCAATGAAAAGTCACACAAGATGACTACAGTCATCCTTTAATGTGGTAAGCTAATTAATACAACTCATCAGGCACTGCAAAGGATTCCCTTTCTATTTTTATATTTTTTCTAGATTTCAAATAAACCCATGCATTTCTCAAAGGCAGCATTAATATTGCCTTTATGATAAAAGGTCCTCAGACATTAAAGTATCATATTTTCATATGTCTTTTCTATGTTCTAGCATACATGAATATGGCAGCCTACATGACAGTCACTAATGCTGTGCTGTGGGCAACCCTGTCAGTAATGCTCCATACATGGATCACTGAGACGGTGCACCAGGGAGATATAGGAATATGCTTTCTTTATAGTTATGCTTTTTCTAGAGTTTTATCTTTGTATGAGACACCACTCTAGAGAGAGCTTTGATCACAGGCTTAGATTTGCCCTTTGGAATTATTGTATCCAATTTCATCAGCCACCATTCTCTAATCATAGCTATACTTCAAACTAAGAGATTAGATTGACAGCAAGAATCCTAAATTTATAGAGAGTGAAGTAATGTGGTATGACATGGCTATATACTCTATGGGACTTCTGTTCAACACTGTGTTACCTCAGTCACCAAACAGCCTTGAGATGTCAACAACAGCACTGAAGAGTAATTTAAGCATGAGTAAAACCGTAACACAGCTTTTCTTTTTAAATGATGTTTTAGGAATTCTAACGTACATAGGAGTGAAGTGACTTGTGTTCCAAGATTGATTTAAGAATTGTTAAACAGTAATTTGAAACAAGGAATGCAGTACCCCAAGGTCAATTAATTGATTAAACAAAGAGAAATCAAAATTGTGATTCTTCCTCCTGGGTATGCTAAGAGAGTGACTAATGTAGTCTTTTATGAAAAGATATTCCTACTGCTCAGATGATATGCACAGTTGAAAAACTGCAATACAGGTCTATCACACTGAATACACTAGACATTGTCTGAAGTGCAAACAGAAAGTCAGCTCAGTCAGCAACTGCTTTTCATCAGCTGCATCCCATGCCATGTCTAAAATAAAATATACTACTATATATAT